AATCCCACCTGTCACTGCAACTGCTGAAACCACTGGAGCTAGTCTGACACACCTGAAGCCAGGTCTTCCATTTCACTGAACAGGGAGACTCTCTATGCTAGGTTTTTCTCTACTGAAAGGCTTGGTTTAACTGGGGTCTGCAAGCTGTACCCCAAAAAACGTAGGTTCTGCCACAACCTTGGGTTTTCCAATAGCTGGAGAAAAGGAGGATCTCCACCAGTTCTCCTGGCCTGTGACAGAGCTCATGTGTCTTAGATGTAATTTGACTGAACTCATTTCTCTTTTATTTTTTTTCGTCTAAATATCAGAGCCCATGATCCCAACTATGGATCAACTGGGAAGAAAGAAAGTTAAGTTCCATAAGTTTCCCCTGGACGAGAAAGGAAATGCAAGCACAGTGACTAGAAAGTAATCTCATTTGGGAATACCTGCGGTATCTTCACCCATGCCTTTTCAGCTGACCACATGGCTGGCAAGAGATCAAATGATTCACCAGGAGATGTCTGCAGCTGTCACACACAGGCTGTTGGTAGGCACTAGGATGCCAGTGGCAGGTGCTGATAAGCCAGGCCTGAGGCAGTGTCAGGACTTTCTCTGGAGATGGCAGAAAAGTTGGCAGGGCAGTATCCTTCCTTGCATAGAGCCCAGCATTACAGGTCCCGGGAGGATATGGCCTGGCATGTTTTTGAACTTGTCACTTCCACAGTTATTGTAAAAGACCAAAATTCTAGAAACCAACTGATCTTCCCACCCCTGATTATGCCTTATCATCATGCCTAGGAGCAGAAGATACCACAGGTGGTGCTGGAAAGATACAAACCGAACCTCCTATCAGCAGGGAAGAGACTGTGCTCATCTAACTTCAGCTGCCTTCAAGTTGCATGTCTGCCATCAACCATTTCATGGACTCCCCCTCCAGTCAATGGAGTGACTCCAGAGCATGATTCACCATATCCTAAGAATAGAGCTGGAGGTAGGTGGGGTGAATCACCCTAGGGAATTGCCTGTCTCTCCCTGTGATGTGAGCTTTGCCAGATGACTTTGATGACAAGCTTTTCTTTCAGGCGCTTAAAATTAGAAATGAATTCCACCTCAAAATATTCAGCATCACTGCTTTCCTGAAACAGGGAAGAGCCAGAGCGAGTGCTGCAAGATACACAAGCATGCAAATTGCCAACATGTTTAACTGGCAGCCTTTACCAAACAGAAAAATAACCCTGCATGGACAGAGAAGGTGAAAGGCACTTGCTCCCCTGTTTGAGAACAGTGCAGCCAGGGTCCTGTCCAGAGGATATGATGAGAGGCAGAAGGCCATTCCCTTTGTCTGGCCACAGCTGCTGGAGTTGCATTCCTATCATATTTTCATCTCCTGCCCTCTCTGGTCTTTACTCCCATTCAGCCTTGCAACATAAAATCTGCTCTAACTTTCTTTACCTGTCATTCAGATCAGTGAGACAGGAGGCCCAAAGCCAGTAACAGTGTAAAGTGCTGCTATGGGTGCTCGACAGACTAGTGTGGTGTACCATTCTGCCATGCAAACCAGACACACATTTCCCTTCACATGGCTCACATAATGTTCACTTTTAGTTTTGTTCTTCCACCCAGCGCCCTATGGAGAAACCTGCTGAAATTCTCAGGTTTCTTGATAGGTGAAGAAGGATTAATCCAGCAACCTTCACAAAACGTTTGTTTTACAACAAGCACAAAATCTGTGGGAAAATAAAGTAAACTGTGCAAAGAAATAAACATTCATAGAGGAACAAATCTTCTCTTGTGTGAATTCATTTTCTTCTGAATCTACAGTCTTCTAAGGATTTAGGAAAACTAGACACATGAAAGTGAAATCATTATCTGACTTAACTATATTCATGTCTGGTGTTGTCAATACTCTTTACTTAAAGCCCTGAGAACAGCAGGTTTTAGATTCTTTTGTGTGCTACCTGTTAAATTTTTCTTCTGTCAATATTTGCACATATCTAAATTGATGGCCTATACTTCTCCTTTCTGAATATGCAAGAAAGAGTGGAGCGATGAGATATGTTTGTGCAATAGTGTTGTGGCAGAGACTGACAGAGCCATGGATAAAACCCTGTTTTTTCAAAGAATTATCAGGATGTTTTTGGCCATCTGATTGCTGTACAGAGGTTAAAATGCTGGTCCCTACAAAGATTATCAGTGTTTGAATAGCTGCTGATTGACTAATACTTATTTAACTAAAAAGCCCCTACAGACTTTCTATTTTTGGCAGTCTATATATTTGAGGACATAGTCCTCCAAAGGAAGTTTGAAAGAGACAGACATAAAGAGAGACAGAGACAGACAGACAGATAGGAAAGAGAGAAAGAAAGAGAGAGAGAAAGAGAGATGGAAGGGAAAGAAAGAAAGAAAGAAAGAAAGAAAGAAAGAAAGAAAGAAAGAAAGAAAGAAAG